ATTCTTCATACAGTGGACTACCACAGTAAAACTGATACAAATTTGGGACCAAAAATTATTCAGACCGAGTCTGGGAAAAAAATTGAAGTTCAGGTTTGCTTGAAGCTGGATGACAGCATGCCTAGGAGACTACAGGCTGTCATTAAGGCTAAGGGTTGCCCGACTAAGTATTGATAGTTGTGTAAATACTGTCATACTAACAGCGGTCTAATTTTTGGTTGATTGTAGTCCATACCTTTCTATCAAAGTTATCTAACATTATCAAGCTAAATTTGTTCTGACTCAGTTTAACTCTGAGTTCTTGTTATATTTTAAATTTTGGTTTGACTGTATCTATTTGATAAATGAAGTTAACCAACTAACATTATACATACTCTTTTGGTTTCTGTACCCAATATTTAAAAAATGTACAAATGCAATAAAAATATTGGTATCGGTACTCTGTATCGGCAAGTACCAAAAATAAAAGTATCGGTATCGGGCGAGTACTGGAAAAAGTGGTATCGGTGCATCCCCAGTCTGCATTATGTCTTCTTTAGAGATGTCCTATTTTAAGAGAGAGAGAGAGAAACTATTGAAATGTGTCTGTCTGTGTACACCCTGAAAGTCAGCTTGTCATTGGTGGATTGAAAAACAACTGGTGAAAACACATCAATAATTAAGTTTTTATTCATAAAGAACAGAATTATGTAATGAGAAAAGCACTCAGACTCCCTCCTCACACTCCCAGCTCTCATTTGCCGAACCACTAAAGATAGAAATCTTTGCCTGAATAATGCAAACACGCTCCTCGTTCCAGATCCTTTCTGTACACAGACTTTAGCTGAACAGATGTGTGCGGCAAAGGGCAATTTATACTTGTGACAGTCTCTGTACATTCACCATGACAGCATTAACAGTGTGTACAAAAGACATGATGTTACAATAAACAATAGATAGAAAATCATGTCTAATCGTCTATCTATCTGTCTGTCTGTCTATCTATCTATCCCACAGAGTTGACCTTGAATCATGCTACAAATACTCCCTCAAGAGCCATCAAATCTGTCTATCGTCTAATTTGTCAATCTATCGACCGACGGACTGTTCATTCCTTCATTCTCTCTGTCTTTACAATTTAACTACCCCTTTAAACTTTCCGATTGAAATGTATTTGAAAAGTACACTACTCAGATGATTTGTCTGTTTTCTCTCATTTGTCATTAGAAATTAGTTATTGTGCCAGCACAACATTAGGTCTGAATTAGCAGGATATTTCAGGCTCTTTCGTCCTTGTCCATTTGCATGTTTGTAAGCTAAGAAAAAAGATCCGACTATTATGACAGGAGGTACTTACTGTACATGCTCAGATATGCATCTTGTAGGATGTTCCTCTGCAAGTAATTTGTGATTTCAACCACAGATGTTTATAGAGAACACAGAATTCAGGAATTTACCAAATGTGTTTTTTTAATTGTATTTTTATGATGTACTGTTACATTCACGTGCACTTTAATGATTTCCCACTTAAGATAATGAAGTGATAAACTACTTAGTTTATTTGTTATTAGACGTCAGTTAATTTGTCTGCTCACTGAAAGTGAGAATGATGTGCTATGTGGAACAATAATAGCCAATCTGAACATACTTGGTGTTTAATATATAGTAATGTGCAGCATAGTTTGGACCAATCAGATTTCAGTATGAGCGGGGCTACTCAGTGTGACGCTGAAGGAATAGAAATCAAGCAGCTGACAAAATATCCTTGTGGTAACACCTTAACAAAATTCACCCGGTTTTCAACTTTAGAAATGCTGGTAACATCTGAAATGCACAGATAATAATAAAGAGCTCTCTGTAAAGCTGTATTGTTGGTTGTCTGCTGTAAAATGCTGACTGTAAAAGAAGTGAGGGCCACAATGGCAGCGTGAACAGGCCTAGAAATGCAACCTGTTTATTGTTATTAATTGCCCACTGCCACCCATATTCCAGGGCCTGGAGGAGTCAGACAGGAAGGGCTACATTATTTCTCTCTCAGACTCATGCGCAGCTTCCTTAACTCCCTTGTCATCACTGCAATGATTTAATTCCCTCAGCTTTCTCGCCTCAGACCAGCCTCACGCTGACTGACAACCAACACATTACTATGCACAGGCAGCAGGAGGGCAGCTACGAGCCGATATGAATGTATGAATAGATAGGATAAAAGGATGGAGTAATTGATTTTCTATCTGCTCTTCCATTTCATTAACTGGATAAATGTACTTGATTTTGGGCAGTTTTTTTGACTTGTTCAAATCAGCCCTTTTGTTCCATTATTGGTTCTTTTCATTGTTGGTTGACTCTTGTTTTTGTAGTGTGATAACATTGCAGAAAAATAAGCTGTTTTGTACCCAGTAGAATTGGGAATGTGTGGGTACGTTCCCATGATCTTCAGCAGTTCTATTTGTCATTCTCTTGTATGACTTGCCTTTGAAGATCTGACAGGAAGCTTTGTTTTGTTGTTTGTCATGTGGGATTTGTCCTGGTGTTAAGCAGTGTCAGAGTTTTAATTGAAAATCCATGTTATCTACAGTGGCACATATTTACATTACGAATTATACAGAGAGAGCTTTAAGTTTTTGACATTGTACAGACTTAAACTGCTCTGCTTTTTTCTTTTTCCAGATGTGATCCATACTGTCGGCCCAATCGCCAGAGGAAATGTGGGCCAGTTCCAAAGAGATGACCTCGAATCATGCTACAAATGCTCCCTCAAGCTGATGAAGGACAATACTTTGAGATCTCATATTCATTACCGTGATATATCGCATTACCGAATACCGGCACAAGTCTAGTGGTGAGTATAAAAGCCTTTAAGACAGACTTTAGAAACAGTCCACTTGAGACAGGCAGCTCTGTGACTCAGTTGATGCTTTCAAGACTGTGTTTTGAAATCTTGAAGTCGGCAAAATAACAGTTTTGAAGATGATTGCACAATGGTGGTGTTGCTGTAAGACACACTCCCTTGTCTGCACATTTATTGTCGGTTGTTGGATGGGCGCAACACAACCCATGCTGCTCCTTTCAGCAGGGCCTGAGGAAAAATTTCAGATAAAGAGACAAACAGGCAACATTTTCTGTTGGTTTCCACATGAGCTTTAGTGGTTGTGCTGTCGTGCCCCCCTTAGTGAATAACAGTTGCTCTTGTTGTTGCAGCATTAATTCTCACATTTTGTAACATGAAGCAGACCTAAAGCCAGATGTTGAACGTAATTCACACTTGGCCAATTTTTACATGATTTGTTTTGTTTTAGACACAAGTCTTTGTCTTTTGATGAAAATATTCCTTAAATTTTGTAAATATTTCATCATTTCATATTCATTGCAGAAAATTACATGATGAAATGAAAGTGAAAGTGACGTGACATGTGGCCAAGTATGGTGACCCATACTTGGAATTAGTGCTCTGCATTTAACCCATCCTAAGTGCACACACACAGCAGTGAACACACACACACCGTGAACACACACCAGGAGCAGTGGGCAGCCATTTATGCTGCGGCGCCCGGGGAGCAGTTGGGGGTTCGGTGCCTTGCTCAAGGGCACCTCAGTCGTGGTATTGAAGGTGGGAGAGAGCGCTGTACATTCACTCCCCCCACCTACAATCCCTGCCGGTACGAGACTTGAACCCGCAACCTTTGGGTTACGAGTCCGACTCTCTAACCATTAGGCCACGATGTTCATGCATGTTTCGTTTTATTTTTACATTCATTTGGCATCGTAATTTCTTTTATCTTTTTTTTTTTTTCTTATATCAATGTCATAACTCGAACTTCTGGTGAAATGACAGAATACTCTTTGATGACTAATGCCAATAATTTAGTCTGCATAAACCCCATCTCTTTCTTTCAATCTACCTCAAGCCCACATTCATCTGATCTGCTTTCATTCAATCACCAACCAATGCTTAGCATCAAGTCCATGTTGTACTTTTTCTTTATCAATAGTCCATTACACATTGCAAAGATCTATCACTACTTCCATTTCATTGTGATTTTTAATTTTAGTCAGCTTTACTCTAAAACTGAGAAGGCATAATCTTAGTAATTGAAAATAGCATTTTGATTGTCGAGAGAATGCAAAATTAAACCAAATATTCAAACATTCTTGAGTACACAATTGTACTACAGTATTTAGTGTATTTTGTATGCTTTAGCAATCCATTTAGTTATCCATTGTCCATGTTTTAGACGTTTCAGTGTGTTGTTACAGAAAGAGTGTTTTCATAGTGTGGTGTGTGATTGATCTCAAATATAATGCTTTATATGTAGTGCTTTACAGGTGTGTTCAAACAGGCCAGTCCCTAGCATTAACGCTATGGCTTAATCACAAAAAATACTGTAATTATATTCCATTACTTCTTTAGTACAGTCAATACATGTCTACATTAATACTGTAATACATTTTTTTATGAATATCCCACATTTCTGCCACAATATCATGGTGCAGTTAGTGTTACTACAGTAAATCCATGGTAAATGATGGCGATTTGTAGATTGAAAAGCCTTCTGACTGTATCATTGCGCACAGTGTTTCGTGGTTTCATATCGTGATTCAAATGAGTAGCACAGTTTCGTTATGCTTTTGCCGCATAAACATTATATCGGACATTTATCAAACTCTTGTTATCGTTTTATCAAGGAAAATTATATGGCGATAGCCCTAATCGCCTAGCCCTAATTTTGACTAATTACTGAGTTTGATCAGCTTTTTCATGTATAGTTAAGTGTCGGGGTCAATTATTGCAACTAGCTGGCAAAACATTTTCCAGTAAGTCATGGAATGAAATTGATTTTTTTATTCTTACTAAGTCATAACAAAGGCGTTAGTTTGCTTGCTAGCTTTTAAAGAACCATGCATACTGAATGTCTTATAGCCATTGAAACAGCTGGAATGGATATGGCTCATATTTTCCATATTGCAACTATATTCAGATTCTTTCTCAGCTCCGTAAATTACCAGATAACCTCAGGCTTTAAGGAAGCTGGCCAGAGACCAGCAGCTTTGGACCGGGAAGACGTGGAGTCTGATCGTGCGCTGTTCCAGCTGCTGACCCTATCTCCACCATCTGGTGCGCATGAGTTATGGATCTGCTTTAATCCATGGTGGCCACAACCAGAGGAGCCATGTGCGAGACAGACCAATCAGCTCCTCCATCCAGACCAGCATAGGCCCCTGAGAGGATCTCTCACAATTAGCCATGATGAGACTGTCTTTGCGGGACAAATCGCTAACTTCGGCACTTGATGAACCACTCTCACCGTAAGGATGGAGAGTTCTGGCATCATCATCATTACAAGGTTGGAATCGCGTGGTTAAGTTTGCACAAATTTGCTTCTGGCTGCGAGAAATGCACATGCCTGCCACGAGTGACTGGGAGTTAAATGCTAATTAGCGATTCTGTTTACTCTTGTTTTATCTTATGGCGTACACAGACCTTCACTGCTGCAGCCCACGTAGAAGGTCATGAATGAGTCTGGGGGATTTGGGATATATATTTACTCCCAAAACTTAGCCCAGAGATTCTTACAGGCCTCATTAGGTAGAACAGGAGAAGCCAGGAAAGGGGCCGTGCATCCTTCGCTCTATATTCGCTCTATTCTTTCCCTAAGCAGTGCTATTACAGTACCCGCTTTCTTACATGCACATTCCACACATGTATTTAGCTTCCCTTCTATATTTATTTATTCAATAATTCACATATTGACGTGAAACATACTCTGGTTTTACTCTAAGGCAAGGCTGGTTCGGTGGGACGTTTAGACAGCTGCTACAGATTATTGCGGACTTTCTGAGAAAACGCTGCAGCCCGTTTTTGATTGACTGATGTCTGTACGATAAGTTTTGCTAGCCGTCATGCTCGAGTGCTTTTTTAGTGTATGCTCACATTTAGCATTAGTCGCATACAGTGAAATTATGGAATTTCCCCTGTTTTTATGGTCTATGTCAGCGGCTGATTTATAGCAGAGGTTTCAGACCACTTGCCTGGTAGATTAGTGCTAAACTCATTGGAGAATCTGTAACTTAGAGAAGCAGAGTAGTGGATGTTTCTAGAAAAGGAACAGTTCGCCTAGTGGGATGCCATAGAATGGCAAGGGGATTTGACACATGGGGAAAAAAATGGAAAAACTGTTCAGAAAAAAAAAAACAAAAAAAATGTGCAACAAAAGATGGGAATTGGATGAGCTCTTGAGCTAATCCTTGCTCTTGAGAGCCCAAAGACAGCCCCTGAGGAGAGAGAGATCTGAACATGTGCTGCGCAGACAAATTCCCCTTGATTATGTCAAGCGATAGGGACCCGTGAACATATTTTTAGACAGGAGGAATCCAGTGCTGAATTACATGGTTACATGAGTGCACTGCAAACATGAGTTAACTGCAAAAAGCATCTTAACATGTTTTTTTTGTGAATTACAGTGAAACTCTACTGTTATTATTAGTAGTAGTAGCAGTAGAAGTAGTGATTTCTTTTTTATTAAATTAATTACTTTTAATAAAAAAAGTTATTATTATTCTTTTGTTTTAATTAATTTATTTTTAATACATTAATTTGTTATTTGTTTATTTATTTATTTATTTATTTATTTTTCAGTTTTACAGTAGTAATGATTTGTTTCTGAGCACCATATGCTGGCCTTGCAATTAAAATGCCTTGCTTTTGTTTTCTTTGTCATTATTCTTATCATTTATACCATTATCACCTTGAATATCTTTAGACAGGTGTGTTATCTACAGGAAAGGTTAGAAGGTAAGCAGTGATGCGCTTGTCGCTTGCCAACAAAAACTCCTGCAGATTGGGATGAATAATGTTTTACTGGAAGAGATAACTTAGGGCACATTAGTTTAGCATGACACCTGTGTTTGCTCCGTGAAGCTGAATAAAGGATGAGCTTCATCTTCAGAAATGACAAGCTCTCACAGCCAAGATGCTTAACCTCCAGAATGCAGTTTAACGCTTCTTGGACCAGGAGCAAGAGATGGAGGACTCTCACTCTTCATCTCTGTCGGGTGTTGCCGTTTCTGCTCTGTTCCACATTAATGCTGGGAAAGATCCCGAGTAAACCGGAGTGAGGGTTTGAGAGCAAAGATGAGTTTGATTTTAACTTAAACATTTCTGTGTTATTGATCTATTACTTTAGCATTATTTGTATAGTATTTATTAATATTTTGAATTAGCTTTTATTATTATATTTTAAGTTTTCATTTTAAATTGTAAGTTTTAGTTATTTTATGTGGTTTTGTCATTTTTATTAGTTTTTTTTTTTTTTTTCAGTTTTAATTTTAGTATTTCAACATAACTTATTTTGTTTCAGTGAACTACCAATGGTCTACACTGGATGCGGCATGACACGACATGACAAATCCCCGACAGAAAACTGCTGCTGCATTTTATTTATGACGTATTGACAAAAATTTCGAATGATTTTTAACGGTCGCTTTGTCGCATCCAGTGTACTAGACAGACTTTAGCTGTTGCGGCGCAGACACGGTGTTACTCACCTATCGAGAAGAAACAAAGCAACCTCGGCATCCGATCGCAGGCCTTCCGCTCCTTGAGTTCTCTCCAGCGCTGGAAAGCTGATCCGATATTTACACGGGTCCTACTTCTTGCCTTAAGCCTTCTTTTGTTCCGCAGACATTTTCCTCTTTAGTTTTTTTATCCACCATCTCTATCTTTCTGTCGCTCGGCTCGGCTAATGTCCGTCCTGTGCACTGAATGCTCTCTCCTCCACATCATGAGTAGA